ATGCGCGCAGAAAGAGCTTCGACACGTAATGCGCCATAATGTGGGAGGGATCCTGTACTACACGGCCTTCGCTAAACCCTGCCTGATAATTGAGTTTGCCTCAGTCCTTCCAACTGGAAGCCTTCTGGCATTGCAAGTTTATGAGATTGTGCAAGTGCAGGGAAGGGCCTGAACTGAAAGAGACTTCATTGCCAACAGACACGTTGAGAACTTGGCGCAATGCCGCCAAGGTTCAGACCCCAGAGTCATCTTCTCGTCTAAGTTCAATCAGCTAATCCGAGAGAGTGATGCCTCATTGGTGCACTATGCATGCAGTCAACGAACTTTGCGGTAGAGATCATGCCATGACAATCCTCAGTCCAAGCTTCAAAAGGGGGTGCGGAAGCCCCAGGTGAAGGGAATGAAGGTTGTGCCAAGTTTCAAGGGTCGAATGCACATCCAAAGCTCGGCCCTGTGCGAATTTCCTGGGGTTCCGGCGATCTTTATGACTGACAGGCTACCTGCTGTTGGCTGGAGACAAAAACCGGGGCATGGAAGCGTTGATCAGCGATAGAATCTTGAGGTGGAAGCCCCAGGCGGTATCTTAACGGTAAAGGAATGTTGGCCTCTACGTAGTGAAGGAGATTGATTACAGACGAATTGAATCGATTTAAAATTTTGCCAAATCTTTTAATTTAATACGCGCATACGAGCTTCTGCCCACAAGATACCATCTTTGAAAAAGATCCCTCGCCCCCCTCTCTCCGCCTCATTTCTGTCTCTCTAGCAGTATCGGTCCATCGGTGAATCAGAACACGGTCAACCGGTCATTCGGTCCGTTGTTGTGATGGTTTGTCGGATTGTCAGTCTGATGCTCTGTCTGTCTATGAGTCAGTTGATTTGTTGATTTGTCGGTCTGACCGTCTATTTTCTATCGAACGTGTCGTTCTCTTTCTAATCTGTCCGTCAAATTAAGAGGCCTGAAAAAGAACGTTTGTAGCCCTAATAATTATTCAATTATTTGTCGGAGAGAATACCATAATATCGTAACAAGATTGCCGCGCTGCCATTCTACGGATTTCATGATGATCTCACGTTTGATCAATCTTTCTATTTGCTAGACGATTTTCTTTAGATGATCGATTATAATGATTTGATAAATAATATATGATCAATTTATTATTTTTTTTTTGAAATTCTTGATCGGATAATTTATATTCTTATATCGAATTTTAATTGAAGAAATTAATTTTAGGATATATTGAATGATTTTATTTGATAATTTCTATATCGATTTATTTATTTGATATTAATATAGTATTTCTGAAAATTGAAATGATATTTCTTTCTATCTCATATTTTCTATCTCGATGAAAATATTCTTTTTGATAGAAGATATAGAATAAGGAAATACGATAAATTCTATGAATATTTTAGCTATTGAATGCCGAGATATGAAGAGAGGTAAGGATATAAAAGAATAAAGAAGATTTGGATAGGAAGAATTTATAAATACGAGAAATTGATATTTAATATGGCTAATCTAATCTTTGAATTATTTTCATTTTTTGAAGATTTTTTTAAATAAAATCAATTCAATGATTTGAATTATTCTATTCTAAAAATATTTTGCCTTTGATATTATAGGCAAGAAGCTTCTTTGGAATATTCCGAGATCGGCTTCAACGCCGATGTTATTTGATGAGTTGATAGATTCAAATCAAATTTCGACGAGATGAATTTCTTTGAGCTTATAGAATGACGTTATCGAGACGGAATTTCTGCGTGCCTTAATTTTATTTCGTTTCTTGGAGTCGGGCCCCTGAAAGAAAATACGCCGCGGCTTTGAGAGAGAGATTTGATTTATTTCGGGCGCCTCTAGTTATCGCTCGAATTCTTAGAGGTTTATAATTCATTATCAGGTCGCGGAAAATCTTCATTACAAATCTCGACGATGAAGACGAGCTCTCGGCATTAGATTTCCAGGCAGATTTGATCTTAGCTTCGTCGCCTATATCCTGGAAGCGCAGGCCTTACGGAAAAAAATCAATGAAATTTCTCATATCGATTCTGATTGCTCAGAATCTTTATATTATTCTAATCTTATTAGACATCTTGGACCTTGATCTCAATGGCAATAATTTCAAATTCAACGCCTAATTCAAAATCATTTTTCTTACGATTTCGCAACTTCTTCATAATAGAATGAAGAAGGAACCTTGGATACGAAAAGATCATCCCAATGCAAATCATTTGGGATTAATTTCCCAAGATCAAGAAATAATATTATGATTATCGAAAAGATATTTCTAATGAAATCAATTTGATATTCGTGATGAGATCAATCAATTTTGAAATTCCAATATTGATTAATATCAGATTATAATTCATGATGAGATCTCCGATTCTGGGTATATCGGACTTTAATAATAGATTGAATGATCTTGTATGTTTATCGAGCCTTATTGGAAATATATTGAATGACCTCGAACGTATTAAAGAACTAATGCGGATATAGAAGGACTACGAGATTGATCCGAAATGACGCTTGAGAATGGAATATCTTCTTCTAAATATTCAATATCGGGCAAAACGATATTCGGAAGGATCCACGTCCGTATTAGGGAATTGGCAATATTTGTTGATATCGAAATCATTAAATTGAATGATAATCCCTTCGTCAATCTATATATTTCGAATCCAATTGATCGATATATTCATTATGCGATCATTTGAGGATATATTATTATTTCTTTCGCCAATCGAGATCGCCTCAGCTCCTGCCATAAATTCAACGCTCTCGAATATAACAGATTCGCGCAACTTCTATCAAGACTACGTCTCCAAGAATTAAAACGAATAAGAAATATATAAGAATATCGTCTCCGCAATAATTTCTCTGCAATATTATATCTTTCAATCAGACGAGGAGATGCCGTCATCTCAATTTTGGAAATCTCCTCTTGTCGGCATCCGATTTGAAATCCGCCGCCCAATAGAATCGAAATCTAATCTATCTTCTCATGATCAATCTGGATCAACTCAATAATATTATTTAAATTCAGATGAATATCTATGAATTCTTCAACGAAGAATCAGAGGCACGAAATTTTTTATTGAAAATCGATCTATTCGAGAAGAGATGATTTGATATATCTCTCTTTGGAATCAATTCCTATAGCTGAATCTTTATCCGGAAGGAATAGATAAATCAATAATAAAATTTGATCTCTACGAAGATTTTTTGTTTTTTTATCAAATCGATTCTGATCAAATTCGTTCTCCGATTCTATCATTCTTGTTTATTTTTATCTCAAATTTACTAGTCTGCTAATTATCAGAGACGTAATAAGAATAAATAGCGAATCTCCATCCATTATTTATGGGATCAAGGGAATTGAGGAGCAAAATGACATAGAATATGAATATCATCGTCTCTTTGATCTATGATCATGATCTTGATCATTATCATGAGCTAGATCTTGAAATCGCTATAGAAAAAGTCGGGAAGAGTTGGAATTTGATCCTCTCTATCTTCTTCTTCATGATTCTTTCTCATTCTATACGACCAGGGCCCGGAATTTTGATCTCGCCCATTCTGATTTCCTCCCCTCCCAAAGATCATAATCCAATCTCATGAAAATCTCATCGAACCTCAATATCAAATAATACGAGAGGAATTTAGCCTCGGAGAGAGGTCAGCCTACAACGACGAATCTTCTTGATCATCTTGGCTATCTTGATCATCTTTCTTATCTTGATCATCTTGATCATCTTGGATTCCCTAGTCGCCTTGATCATCTTGACCTTCTAAATATCAAGCTTCGTAATCGGCGCGCTCAGCATCCAAATAAGATTCAAAATAATTTAATAATTTATCTATTAATATAAAAATTCTAGATGCTATTTAATTAAGATATATATTACGATTTATACTCAATTCATTATATCAAATAGAATCGGCCTATTACCTATAATATCAGAAAATATATTTAAAAATCATTATAACGAGAAATCCGATGAATAATGAATATATAAGCTAAACATAGAAATCCGATAATCAATCAATATATAAATTAGAAAAAAAAATTATAGATGACGAAAAATTTTAGATCATTATTCTAAGACTATATATTCTTTCGAATCATCGCGTAGATATCTACAAAAATAAATATTTCGAGATCTCGAGAGATTTTTGATCGCAGAACATGCTTTCTATCTCATTTATCTTCCTTATATTATCTATGCGACGCCTTAGATGCATCAATCCTCGTAAATAGATTCAATAAATTTCTAAATACAGAAAGATAATAATTCTCCATCTCGAATCTATTCCTTCCGCCGTATATCCGCACAACCAAACTAAGAAAGATATATCACGCATCAATATCCGCGCAATCAAAAATCGGCGAGATTTTTAGTCGCTCCCCCCATGTCAAAAATCTCGAGAAATTTTAGAATATAATAATATCTCTCAAGTTTTAGCCTCCCATAACCTCACTAGGGAATCCGTAGAGCTGGAAAAATTAAGCCGCAAGAGCGAATTAGTGCGCCATATTTTTAATGTAATGAGTTTAAGAATATTAAGAATATTTCTAAGCTCGAATAAGCAGCTCGACGTAGAATCAATATATAAGAATCTACGTCATACGCCCGAAGATACGGAAATTTAGAAAAACCCTCATACAGAACTACGCATATTCAAGTTGATCAGGAAATAGAACTGATATTCTCCCTAAAATTGAAAATCACAACTCGAATATTTCGATAGTCTGACAAAAAAGATAGAGCCTGATGGAACACGATCGTGCCCTCTGGGGAAATATCTGCTCCAAGCTCTTGCGTGTGGCTTTTCATTTTGCTTGGCAGCACCTCATGCGGTTTCCAGTCTCAGTCTCTCGGCAGGTCAGACTTGTGTCTCCATCGCCCGGTGGATCTGGATTTGCTCACCTGAATAGGATCTGAACTCCGCTCGCCATTAAAGCCAAGTTTCTCTTCGGCGGCACATGTTTCTCGCTGCCTCATGGTTGAGCACCCGCAAGTCGCTTCGCCTGACAAAGAATTCTCTGGCCTCATGTCTGATGACATTTCAACCATAATGTTGACGAGCCTTGATCTTTGCCTGCAGCTTGTCCAGCATCAGCACCACCTGCGCCCACAGAACACAATCGCGGTAGCCATGGGCTACATGCTCTGAGGTCTCACAGCTGATGCACTCGGTAGGCAAAACCGCAGCACCCAAGAATGAGAAGGTGCCCGCCTCCTGCCAGCTTTGGCCTTGTTCTTCGGGCTTGCCGTCTCGTTCCACCGTCTCATCTTGGTATGTAACACCACCCTGGGGATCTACCTGGCAGCAAAAAAACTCTGCTGAAATCCAGCAGTCTGCTCAAGGGACCGTCAGGTGCATACAACGGAAGCCACAACAGTCTTCCTGGAGCAGCTCGGCCATTCTTAGAATGCGAGTTCCTACATGGCAGGGGCCTGCAGCTTTGGTACTCGCACCTTCTGCGTGGGCCTCACTCTAAAGCTACTACATGCAGCTGCAGTCACACCTGCTGTGCTAAGGGCGAAGCTCTGCTGTGGGAGGTGCTGTAGGGAAGGTGCTTGGCGGCTTGGGAGCTGCGGGCTCCTTGGCCTCAAGCCGCGCATGCAAAAAAACAATGCATCCTGTTTTCCCCTCATTCAGCCCGCAGCCCAGGTTGGAGGGCTGAACTCCTGCGGCTGCTGCGCCCTTCAGAGCTCATTCGCCCTTTCAACAAAGGAGCTGCTAAGCTTCAGCCTGAGCTCCTTGCACAGGAATTGGCGGTGGGGATGGCGAGCTAGGTGGAAGAGGAGGAGGGTGCCGCACCTCAGCATCGCTCGGCTCTTAAAGACGTTGTCTCTTCCAACAGGCTGGTACTAGAAGAGCTGCAATGTCCTGGGGTTGTGACGAAAAAGGGCAACTGGCCCTCTATCTCAACCTCAGAGCATGGGTCAGGCCGCCAGGCCTGCTGATGCTAGTAATAATAGTGATACAAAATAATAGTAATAGAAGTAATAGCGGTAATAATGGTAAAAATAGCAATAATAACAATCGTGTAATAATTATGCACACCATGCAGATCGAGAGCCAGACTCGGCCACCTTGCTCTTCAGCCAGGGCGTCACCTTGACTTCGCTCCAGAGACGCTGCAGACTTGACCCATGCTTTTCTGGACTGCTGTTGAGGGACTTAAACTAAGTTACCATAATGGGTATACATAGAAATTAGCACGGTTTCCCCAATATAGTAGATTAAATGAAGTTCCTTAACAGCAACCCAGTTTTGCAGCTTCCTAAGGAACTGGCTTCCCTTGATGCCTATCAGGGCGTAGCCTTCCCGCTCTTTGCCGCCAGGTATGGTGGCACCTGCACCTGAGCTAGGGAGCAACTGCCTTGAGATTATTTCCAAAGCACAACTGGACCTGTTAAGATTCGGACTCCAAAGAGCTGCGATGGCCCGCGCATCCAGGTTTTCCATGCCGGAGTCCTGCCAAAGCTTCTTGCTTTACGCTTCTGCTATGAGGACGGATTGGCGATAAAAATCACGGCTCTGCAGACTTTTTTTGTGTGTTCGCGTATATGTCAGCGAGCTTAGCCCGCTGATGAGTCCCTGTGCTCTTTGCCCGCAGCTTGCTTGGTGCCATGCACAAATTGCAGGATTCGGTGTTCTTGCTGATTGGCGGACACGCTGGCATTTTTCCTCTAGGCCTCCAACGCAGGCAGCCAGGCACAATCCTAAATACCTCTCGGCACAGGCAAGAATCCTTTGGATTTCAGCCAGCCGTTCAAGCTTCGCCAGCTTGAGAAAAAGACTCATGAAATGTTTGCTGAGACAACTTGTCCAGCGCTAGTGCGAAATTCTCTAGCAGTCTCCATGACAGGAAGCAGCCAGGCCAGTAAATACTTCTAATTGCTTTGATAATTTGTTGGGCTGCATGGCTGGCCAGGTGTAATCTGAGGGATTGCAAACAAAAGTGCTTCTCCTCTACAATTCCATCAGGGTCCAGAATAGCCCAACCTCAACTTTGGGGAGCAGGTGTTTACTACGTCCGTGCGAAGGCACAATGACGATGTTTCTGCAAAAAGGGGCAAGGCAAGGATTGGATTTTTGTTACATCATAGTGGTACCTGGGATACCTGGCGGCATTATATCTGCGAGAAGCTGCCACATTGCTAAAGATTTCCCAGTGGCTCGGGCATGCTCAGGCCATCCACGCCTGGACACGCTGACCTTGGCAACATCGTGCCATTCTCATTGAAACTAGTGATCTGATGCAGCATCGCCTTTGTGATACCTGAGCGGTTACGATGGCTGTAATGTCTGAGGTTTCGCTTGCTTCTGCCAACTTCTGCCTTGGTGGTGATTGCTTAAAGCCTGACATCGAGATGAGCAATGCCATCTAGTCGTTGACTACGGCCAGTGTTCTCAGCTTCAGAAGTTGAATCAAACAACCGGCAAGGATAAGAGTGAGAGCGAAGGCACGGCTACTTCCAAAAATGTATTGCAAGACTGCCACCTTCCACACCCGCATTGATAGCTTATCTGGTGCTCTTTCAACGTCAGGCCACCCTTTGCTCCCAGATCACACTTGATGCCATGTTGATAATGATACTAAGACTAGTGCTAAACGACTAGAATATGAACAATCGTGCTAATAATACTACTCACCTAGTTGTGAAAAATGGAAAGCTGAGGGCCCAAACGGCCTTTCGTGAGCCGGCGCAGCGTGCTGACACTCCAGGCTCTGCGACTCTGGCTCTCTCGCTCCTCCGCTTCCTTCTTCGCGGCCTGGTCATCGAAACTTTGGTTAGGGGTTATCAAGGGGCATACGAGGAGTCTAGCCTATGGCTCAGTTTCTAATGCCCAAACGACACCGAGGCAGTGACGATGTAATGTACAGGCTATTGCACCGGAATTTTCAAGTCCAGGGATTTGATATATTTGATTTGGCATTAAGCACTTGCCCTGCCACGTGTAAACTGTAATTCCACTTTATGTAAGCTCATGCATGATAATAGTGGAGATATGCTCAACGTACTTCAGCCAGATTTGTATTTTACCAGATTGACAGCGTGCGCAAAACTCCTGAAGTTGTTGAACACCCCTTGTATTCCCTATACCTTCACGTACCACTGGTCTCCAGCTGCAGGCCGTCTATCAGGGAGACAAAGAATTAGGAGGGATAAGTCTTGAGGTTGCTGTTCCTGTCCTGAAACACTTCATTCGACCATGGCCTCTGCGGCCCTCTGTTTCGCCTTCTCCCTTGCGGCTTTTCTCTCATCAAGCAACTTGCGCTGATGCTGGAGTCGTTCGAGCAACTCGCACCTGAGGCTGGGCCCACTTCGCAATGACCATACGCCACTTACGACATTGGTTCAGTACTGCCCCACCCTGTAACAGTCTATAGTCTATATTAGAGGTCATACTGAGGGCCATGTATAACAGTATTATATATTAAAAAGATATATATATATATTCATCTTTATATAATATTATCCAACTGTTTCAGTGTGGGGGCAGTGCCCAAAACATTTGCCACCCAAGGGGCCGCAGCTTGGAAGGCACCCCGGCTTGCAAGGCCAAGAATACCTGGCAGGAAAACCCTGACCCCTATAGTCCCCCTTAAGTAACTACTATAAGGGTTATACAGGGGTTATATGGGGTATATTATTGGGGTTATATAGGGAATAATGGAAAAGAAAATGGAAACTACTATTTAGGGGTTAGGGTTTAGGCTTTAGGGTGTATAGTCCCCCTTAAGTAGATAGACTATGGGGTAAATGTGGGGATCTTATTCTAATATACCCAAAGCCATATTCTATCTACTTAAGGGGGACTATGAACCTTGAATAATATTGAGGTTTCCACCTTCTTTTCCATTATCCCTATACCCCACTAAAACATGCTATAGCATAGTAGTTTCCATGTTCTCTTTCCATTCATACCAAGTCCCACTGACCCTCCCAATGCTCAGAGGCCTCGGGCTGACGGCGAAGGTTCCTCACAAGGTCTCTTTTTGTTTCGCTTCGATCTTTTTCAAACTCAAACTGACTCAACGAATATTGTGACTGTTACTTACTACTATTAGATAATACCGTTCTTACTACTATTATTATTATTATGATTTCTCAAAGTCTAAAGCTGCCAGACCTTTGGTTCAGAGGGGCGGTGCTTCGTCGTCAGCAATTTTGCAGCCCAACTCGTCCACCAAATCGGCAATCCTGCGTCTCAGTCCCGCATCTTGGCTATGTCGTTGGTGCCTTGCATGTATGTCCTCCGTTGGCGGAGAGCTTCTGAGTGGGCTTCCTGGTCGTTTCCCAGCAACCTGATCCAAACGAGCTGGCGGCAGTGAAGAGAGTGACAAGGGACAAGGGATCAGGATTTGCCATTGAACAATGTTGAAAGATCGGTCAGGTGAACATGAAAACTATTAGGCAGGCAACGACGTTCGCTTTCCTTTCGCAGCTGGCTGGGCAACAGGATCGGCCCAGGTCAATGGATTCCATGACAGCCATCTGGCGTCACCAGTCCTCGCGTACTGCGGCACTGCAAACCCCACATGATTTGCCAACCTTGGTGCTAATATCGCTCGCACCTTCCTAGAAGCTATGCGAGCCTCAGTGCCTATCGTGTTCCTTTAAAATACAACCAAGCTTGTCTGTATGTAGCATTGTCCCATGCTCGACAGATTTCGACAGCAACCCATGATTAGACACAACAAGGACTTCTCTAGTTTCCTCGAGATGCGAATTCTCTGGGAAAAGTGTTTACGGAAGGATTACAGAAGGGTGGAGACTTCGGATGCATAGACACCGAACTTAACGGAATGGACCTGCTTTGCGACACTCAAACACACTCAAACACAAGATCCATTTGCATTTTCCCTTCTGCCTGGCTTAGTCCTAGCATTGCAAGGCTGCAAGTGGGTCATGCTTGATCATTCTCATGATTTGGATCTTCCCTAAACCGGGAGACCCCAGTTTTGACCCCCAAATACTATAGTCCTCGTTATTATTGGGACCCCCAAAAGGTACCCATAATTCTGGGAAACTCCCATTTGCAGCTGCGATTCGGGATGTATGGCTGGCCATGGAGCTTGCAGCATACCTCCTGCAGCTTCTCCAGGGGCACCTTGGTGTTTTTGCTCTGGGCGTCATGCTGAAGAAAAGCTTGACAGGCCGCAGTACTTACTGAGGTGCCTTTGCAACATCTCACCGCCTGAGACTTTCTTGGCTGAAGAATCTACCACAATTCTGAAGCATCTTGCCTAGCCCCTGATGAAACCAGCACGTATGCTGAACAAGGCGTTTGTGCTTTGAGTCCTTCATAGTCCTTCCAAACATCCAAACATCGATCGTTGCCCGGCCCCGCCCGAGTTTTGCCCTGCCTCCTTCACTGATCCATTTACATCGTGCATGTCTCAGCATTCTCAGTGCATCTGATGCGCCCTGACTTGCTCAGAAGGTTGCCCAGAACGTTTGTTGTGCATGCCGCTCTCGTAAGCCTTCATGAGATGGTCATTCATAAAGAACTTCTTGACCTTAGGTGAGGTGCATGAAGCTGCGCCGCCCAGGATGCAGACATCCTGGCCATTGGACGAGCGACGGGGATCTTCCCAAATCGATCCAGTTCTTCTTCGAAAAACTTATCATCACCTGGGATGTAGCGCGTGCTGATGAGATTGTAGAAACAGAAGGTCCCGAGATCAAGGTACGAGTAGGTCAGTGATACGTTTGCAGTGCGACTTTGTGCATGCCACGGAACTAAGCCGCTGCACAGGAATTCTGAGCTGATGCAAATGCACTGTGTTCCTCAGTAGTCAGCATGGGCAGTCTGAACTCAAACATGCTCAACATCATGATACAGCATGATTCGCAGCAACTCTTCTGAGGGGAAAGCTCCTGCTCAAGCTCTGGTTCAACCTACCATGTCTTCTCAAGCCACACGGATCTGTACTGTACTCATAGGTCCATAGGTCTGTACTGCATCAACTTCGGCATGCTTGCATGATACAGTATCAAGCTTCCAGCCCCTCCCCACCCCACCTTGATGGGGTTGTGGATCGCATAGGCATTCAGCATGGCAATCTCACTTGCATTTTATCTCTGTGCTTGGGAAAGCAAGCCCAAGTCGTCAGCTACTAGGCGCAGTCTTGGAGTAACTGTTGCAATCTGCTCTGCTGCAATCTGGGAAGCTCTGATTGATATTTTGCATCCTGCGAATGGTGGAATGTTTGGCTTCATCGGAGGCAAGCCTAGAGAAACTGTCGAATCATAAGCCACATGTGCGGCGTAGCCTCCCCTTGCATGCATGGAAGCAAGCTGCTTTTGGAGGGCGCAAAGCTTGGCAGTCAAGGCCTTGCATGCTACCAGGATGACACGGCCGTCGGGCATGCTATTGATATCCGCTGCCTCAGAACTTGCAGCTTGAAAAGTGCCAAGGGCAGTACACGTCGAAAAAGACTCCCACCCAAAGACCCTGACTAAGCGAGTGTTCTCCGTCTGCGGGTCGGCCCAGACATCGTAGGTTTTTCGCGACATGACCTGCGTGGCGAGCGTGGCAGCTGATCCTCCCGCGCTGTCCTTCCTCTTCGCTTCCAGCCTGCTGCGTGTCTGGGTCGATGGTCACGACATTCAACCCTCGTCTGCCGGCCTCCATGAGAGTCAGTTGAAGAAAAAGTGAAGTGCTCCCCCAAAAAACAATGTTGCCGAGATCAATATGACAAGACTGCTGTTAACATCGCAGACAATAAGTAACGTATCGATAGATAGTCAGTCTTACGAGCAAATTACTCGTAAAAGACCGCGTTGCAGCTCAAAGTCTTTTGTTTCTAGCAGGACCAGTACCTCACCCCTGATGTCGATCTTGCGATCGTTCAGGAAGAAATCTGCAGTATTTCCGTCGCCCCAGCCAGCCTGGAGAGTTGAAATGCAGGAGCCAGGTCCATCTCCACAGCAAGTCTGGATGCGTGTAGCTGGTGGCGAAACGTCTGGGTAAGGGCGGCGCGCTAACTACTTTGGCAGTTGTAGAGCTGACCTCGAAGCGACTGCGGTCAACATGGCCGCATTACTTTGAATATCATTAAGTGTTTCAGCAAGAAGAAGAACAGGACGAACTATACACTGCCGTGCAGGCGCAGTTGTGGGCAGAGTACGAGTGTCTCAAGGAGTTGAAGTCCGCGCATTCAACCCAAGTCGTGTATGATGTATTCGTGTCAGAGGTTTTGTGGACTGCAGCTTCATGTCTCGGTCGCCCCACTGGCTCTGCAACTGGCACCGCTGACCTCGTATGTCTCTCTACTGCAAGGTCACGCAGCAAGAGTTCACTGCATTGCAGGCCATTCAAGAATTGCAGTTGTCTCGCAGAAATTCTGGCTGCGCACTGCCGATCGCTAAGGCTGCCGCGGGGCTGAGACTGGTGGAGGGCTTGGTGCTGCGCTAACCGGAGGTGCCCTCAGCCACTTCTCAATGCTGGCGGCATCAGTGAATTGTTTCAACAAGAGTGGTGAGTGTGCAAATGGTTTGCAGCCTCAGAAACCGAGCAGTCTTCTTTTTTTTCTGCTTTCCAGCTTTGAACTTTGCTAAGTCCAGCACGCTGGTGCTGGTGGAGGCACGGGCACAGGCGCTGGCGCAGGCGCTGGCACAGGCGGAGCTGGCGCCCTCAGGAGTGGCCGAAGTAGCAATTGAGTACCTCCCTTGCCAAATGTAATCCTGAGGCGCAGGCACTGCTGGTGCCGGGTTGACAGCACCCGCTTTCCTTACCGGCAGCATGTTGAACCAAAACGAAAGGACTCTGTATGTGGACTGAGCTACCTGCACAGGCGGAAGACCGTGGTGTACGAGATGCAAGTCACAGACGGGTGGCAGATTGCGCTGCAGGCTGCTTTTCTTTTTCTGCGCGTCTTTGAGAGTCAGAACTCTGTGTGTTTTCCAGGCAGGCCGGCGGAAGCGGCCATGTTGGCAGCCTTCACCTGAGTATGCTCGCGGCAGTCGACCCGAACCCTGACTGCCCACAAGTGACCCCGGCACCAGCCTGACACGTAGTCTGAACCTTGAACTTCCATGTCACCGAGACGCTGCAGCCTCGTGGGCTGCCAAATGGGAAGCCATCGCTGCCCCAAAGTCCGCAGTCCCTGGGTGCTGCAGAAGCGGCTCCCCTTGCCTCATCTTGGATGGCACCAACAAGTTGCATTCAAACATGCAGACTGAGGGGCCGGCTTGTTGGAAGAGGTGTGAACATGCTTCGTTGTGACAGTCTTCCTGGTCGTGCCTTTGCCATCCTTGGTCCATAGTTCAGCCGAGGATAGCGTATCAAGAGCTGGTAGGCCTTTTGTCAAATCAGCGAAGCCGTGTAGGCATTGTTGGAAAAACCTAAAAGTAGCTCAGGAGCGTCTTCCACCTTTTGGCTTGATTCCAAGCGTTCTGTCCCGTCTGCAGAGGACGTCTTCACGTCAAAGTTCTTGCCGCCGGTCTGGCTGAGAGAAGCGTGGATCGCTTCTGCATGGCGCTTCCACTGCTCTTGGCTTCCGTGACGAAACGAACGCGCGAGGTGGTCGATCAAATCTCGATACTCCTCAGAAGCGTCACCAAAGACGTCCTTGAAGACCTTTGTTGCTTTCTCCATGGAGAAGTCCCGTGGCTGGCGGCCAGGAGCATCTTGCTGGGCGTGACCTTATCTCAATAGCCGCATGGCGCAGGCCACCAACAATCTTCAAAAACATACTTTTGATAATACTCCTTACAACCCTGAACACTCTATTCAGACTAGAGTCCCTGCATAACCCGTCTACCCCCGCCCCATCCCCCAAAAAAACAAAAAAGCGAGTTACTTTCTGCATCTTGGAGGCTCGACTCTTGTGGCCTTTCACGAGGCGGTTCGTCAAAAGCGTGGCGTCGCGAGGGGTCGCTTAGGACTTCATAAGCCCAAGCGATTTCCTGGGTCTGTGACGAAAGGATTTTAAAGGGGTGATGCAGAGATGAGCTTATGTAGGCGCGGCTCAGTGTGTAGTAGGGACTTGAAAGGTGCCACGCGAGCTCTAGTCTAAACTCCTAGTATACTCCCCCTTCATCCCCTATACAACCCCCTTTAAGGAGTCTAGATTATAGCTCCCGTAAGCTTAGCGTCGGATATTTGGAATCACGGATTCATCCCGCACTCAAAAAATTACCCCCCCACCCTTGCCATCATTGCTGGCCCTCTCTGGATGGCGTCCCTGCAGTCACTCCCCTGTAGCTGCCCAAGCCTCCGTCCCGGTCTGAGAAAAGGGGTTTGGGCGGACACCACGCCTTCACAAACATCAAGGCAGGACAGGAAAGTGATTGCAAGACTGCAATCATCTCCCCGTCCGCCTCCATCCACCCAAACCCCCTGTCTACGTTCAAGACAGAGCCGCACAGACAATAGACAGGAAAACGATTGCATCAACCACCACCCAAGCCCCTCCTCAATCATATCTCAACCCCTCCGCCCACACTCCTTGTCTCGGTCTATGTTGTGAGCTCCAACCCCTCTGCAATCATTTTCTGGAGGTTACAAAAACTCAATGCTTGCTGAGAGTATAATCATCTCACCCCCCGACCCCTCTGCAATCATTTCCAGTGCTGGGATGAGGTTTTGCAATTGGGAAATGCCGTAGCGTTAATGCACGGATATTACCGTACATGGAAACGAGATTGTGTTTGTTGCTTGATGGTTCCGAGAGAAACAAAAAAAGACATGATAGATGACTGCGCAGTCTCGATGAAACGCTTCTCTGCTTCCTGCAGGGGTCAGGCGGATGTCAAGGCAGTTTCACCGGATTGGTAAACTTCTCTGCGTTGCCTCCTTCTGGGCTTCTGGAACTTTGTCCGGATGCCACTTCAGAGCTGCCTTTCGGTAGGCTTGCTTTAATGTGCTACCTCAGCATGCACGGATGGATGAGATCCACGTTGGAACATATCACTGCGCAGCAGAAGAAGCTTTAGGCCGGCAAGCCACTTGTTAGCTGCTGGCCGCGCGAAAGCCCGAGTATCTCGTATGGATCCTCAGCATTCCCTTACATGTTTGACGACAACAAGGCGCCCTTTTGCGAAGTCTGCCCATTGCTCTTCAAGCTGAGTTACAGCGCCATCTGGCTGCCATGAGCATGCATAGAGGGCGGCGCTCGCCAGTAGGATTAATCGGAGACCGACCCCAGGGCCATGCAGCATGGCCGCGGGCTCTTGATGGCTCTTGAGTGCTGCAGTCTGGTTTTTGCTGTCCTTGTGCCAGGGTGGGCCCAGGTCCGGGTCTCTTCTTGTAGTGGAGTTTCTCTTGCTTGGCTGCTGGAGCTAGTGAGCTGGTGTATGCAACTTATGTGACTACAAGCTGTCACGGGCCTCGTGAATGACTCGACTGCTCCACCTCTTGCCAAGCAAAGAAGCTATAGGGAGACAAAGACAAGAATGCTCACACTTGCAAGTAGTAACTTAGCTTGTCGTGGCCTTGAGTTTTGTTACTAAATAAACTTCTGCAGACCCCCATTACGGAGTGTCATGGCGCCTTTCATGTTCGATGCTAGTTGTCAACCGCTTGAGGTCTCGGCTGCGTTAAGGTATGCGGTATGTGTGTAGGTACCAGTAACTTATTGGGAGTGGCCCTTTCCTCAAAGGAGAACGTGAGAACATCACCTTCCTTTTGGGGGATCTGCACTTTGTAGTAAGCCAGTCTTACAAAGTACTAACCTATGTTGTACCTAATGAATACTAAAAAGCCCCTCTAATCCCAAATATTCCCGATATTTTATGGTATACAACAGTGGGTGGTTCTAGTTTGAGCTATAGTCTAAACTCCTGATATAGCCCTTCAGCACCTAGATTATATAATCCTCTGTACAACCCCCTTTAAAGAGCTTAGACCCTAAACCCTAAACCCTATGTTATATGGCTGGTTGTCAAAATTATGGTCCTTTTTTGGGTACCCTAAATATTAGGGGCCGTATTATAGTAGGGACCCAAAAAGGGACCATAATTTTGACAACCACCCATATAACCCCCTATATAACCCCCCAGCGACTCTGAGGCCGCTGCTTTGGGCTTGCAGCCGGCGTGGCTTTTCTCTGCAGTGACCTTGGGCTGTTACTACTACTACTACTACTACTACTGCTACTATTACTACTGCTGCTACCGCAACTACTACTTTATGCTGATGAGTAAGGAAAGGGATTTGTGCAACTGCTCAGCTGTATCACTCTCGTTTTTCTCACTCTTCCTTGCATGGATTCCTCTACGTCAGTCAACTCAATCCTCATTGTTCACCTCTAAGGAAGGTCCCGTGCTCTGGAGGTTGTGTCACCTGCTGCTACTGTTGTTCTCTTCCTCACTAACGAACAGTCTGCAGCAAACAAAAGCATATGTTACGTTTTGCCGTGGTGGCAATGGAGATCATGCACCAAATTAATTATAGGATATTTTAGTATATCAAACCATGTTGTATGAGAATATATCATAATATATGTACTATAATATACTATACTACAAAGTACTCTCATGTACTATACAGAGAGTAAACCTCAGAGCCATGCTCCCGGAGCAAACGGATCTCCTGCGAGGCCAGAAGTGAGGTTTGTCATGAACATGTAATCTGGGTAGTTCCCGAAATTAGGGTCCCATTCTTGTACCCCCTAATATTAGGCGCCGTAATAGAGTCTATAACCATAAGGGGCCCATAATTTTGAGAACAGCCCATCTGATTTCTGATGGGCTTCCTTGGGTGTTTTACCTTTGTATGGTGAGTGCTTACCTGAGTAGTGAAGGAGTCTAGCAAGTTAAGTTTGCTTGCAGTGAAAGGACATGGCACTTTCAGAAATGCCTCAGGGGCAGCAAAACAACTTCATGGATGCTTTCTGAATTGGTTGCTGTTGCCAACTCTTCAGACTCCCATGCAGCGCTGGTCAAAAACCAGCTGACGAGCTGCCCGTGCAGCAAAGTACGCCATTAAATGCCCCAAGTGAAGTGAAGAAGCAGAACCGCAAGCTGGGGCCCTATACCTTTGAAGTTCATACACCGAGAAACATTTCCATGCTTCAAGCGTTCTCATCTCTACCAAATCTCCCAGTGGCTCCTTCACCAGCTCCTCTGTTTGTTTCCGGAGGAGCCGAGTCCTGAGAGGTCCGCAGGTTTCTTGCAGGAACTCCTTTTGCAATTTACATAAGTCTTTGGCTTGTTGGTCGCGTGGTTTCTGGGCTCTTGGGCACTTGTTGGAGGGAGTCTCACGATAAACTTGTAGGCTCAGCTTGCCAGTCGCTTGAGCTCCTCACATGATCCCCACCAAGATCCAGTAAGGTCTCTACTTCTTTAAGCCTACATTATCAAATCAAGAAGATTCAAGAGCGTGACGCTTCGCAGAGCATCTTACACCTGAGGTGCCTGCTCTGCTGCGAGTGAGGAAGTTTCCTCGCTAGAGGGAGGTACCTGAGTCAATGGCCGCGTGCAAGGATTCTGGGATTGTGGTGAAGTGTAAAGCCTCAGCACTACTGTTGAGACCCATGTTCACTCTTCCAGCCCAAGCATGAAGTCTGACTGGAAGTGGGAATGACGTTCATGCAGCTTGGATGCTCTGCCGAGCACCTCTTCCATGGCCGCCTGCTCCTGTAGCTACACAACACTGCATGCCACATCTCACAGACATAAGTCTCCAAAAGCCTCCCACCACACCTCGGCACAGTCTATAGGTATGGAAGGACTTATAAAAGGCACTGCAACCTTGGAAAGCTGGGCCTGGGGAGGCCTGTAAGCATAGTCGGAGAGAATAGCCCAGTGGCTGAAACCCTTCAGGCACCCCCCCTGCAAAAGGATTTTCCAAAGTCAGGATACCACTGCGCTCCGCCCCGCAAGCCTCCAAACCCTTTGCTCTCCGTCAATTCACCGCTTCACGAGTGGACAATTTTTTGCAACATGCATGGGCATACGGCATTGCTGGGTATCGCTCCAAGCGACCAACGGTTGCGATCATTGAAAGGAAGTCCAAAAGCGAAGTTGTCATCACCGGCGCAACATGCGAAACCGATGCAAATGGTGGTCCCAGCAGTGCTCACAACGCACATTCCAGGAGAGGGACCAACTTCGGAAAATCCCTGCATGAGGCATTTCTTCTGTCCCCACTATCCTCACGCAAATTCCCACGGGTGCGGCCCTCTATATTCCTATGTGAACCTATACACCCCTAAATATTTCCTACATGCCCATTGAAGAGGACCCCTTACAGGCACATGCAGGGAGTCAACCTGTTCAGGCGTCCACTCTTCACCAGGCCCGGCCTTGGCGTATGGATGGGGCTCAAAGATACTTTCTCAAACAGGGGAACCGTTTGAGACTCTATCGGGATGTATAAGTCAGGAATTCTAGGAGTTGTTCTGAAGGAATATACAAGGACAATGTTGAGAAACTCCCACAGTAGGTGGTCAAGTTTGGGTTTGGGCACTTACGGAATGAGCGTGCTCTCTGCATGGTACCTGTGAACGCAGAATCCCTTTCCTGTACCTGAACACAATCGCTGTTGACTGCTACCATGGTCTTGACTGTAGTCCCAAATATTGGGCCTGTCGCAGGGCAAGATGCTTCTAGGGTGAAACCCATACTGTGTCCAAATTTCCAGCATCACCCAGCTGCAGATGTAAGAGCAGGGCAGGCGAGTACGTGGCAAACAGCGCTGACTTTGACCACCGGTGTCTCTGCAAAACTGAAGACCTTGCGTGGCTCAAAAAAAACAGGTACCCCCTTTTTTGGGAGGCTCGCTCAGACCGTGACGGGCCTGGCATGGATGCCTCAACATGCACGATGGCTACCAACTGTGACTTCACGCCGCAGGCATCTTGGGGCGCCTGTCTGTTTTGAAGGTGGGCAAAACGCAAGCTGACTGGCGAACTCCAAGAAGCTACGGCGCCTGAGCAAAACACATCTCGGGCCCTTGAGGATGTTTGCATGCTCACGCATGTTGGCATTGATGGTTGATGATGTTTGCAAGCGCCCAGCACGTGAAAAGCAGGGATATTCTGTGGCTCGATCTCCCTCTCGTGCCTGATGCAGTGCGGCAGGTTCCGAGTACACGTCACTGACAGATGCGGCCTTTGAAGGCCATACTTCTATGTCCTTCAGACATAGCCCAAGGCCACCCTACCAAAACTGCCCTGCAACGGAGCCATGTAACGGCTTCTTTCAGGGAAGTCGAGTTGTGAGACTGCAAGTGCCAGCAGACCTCATGTCATCTGCGAACTGGGGCTTCAGGATGTGCACTTCCAGGCAACATGCAGGGTGCTCACTTTTTTCGTCGTCTGGGTTCCGACGCGTTGTGCGTCTTGCGCACCGCTTATTGAAAGGCACCAACATGGACGGCAGCTCATTCCTGATATTTCCCCCATCATGGGTACTTTTTTTAGGAGCTCAGCTCAACTGACGCTGAGGGCTCAGGGTGCACAGCACTCAGCGCTTAGCTGCACGAGCAGCTTGGCTTTAAGAGTTGTCGAAGTCCTCGAGACCAACTCGTGTAATGCACGCGAAGAAAAAATCACGGAAGAACAAACAGGCAGCGCGACAATCAGCTGCAGAGTCCTGGATTATAGTCTTCCCGCTTTCACCACCTATGCCTGACATGTGGTGACATATTATACGCGATCCGAAGCAAAAAGCTCGAGCAGCCCAGACAGAATGCAAATCAGCTGAGTCCGAGACTCAAGACAAACAGGGGTGACCGCAGCAGACTCCTCGAACTCAAATGGGGATCTGATGGGATTTGGGATTTGGCTCAGCCACTACAGTGCGCACACTACTTTGTTGCAAAGACGAACATCTGCTTAGCAACCCGCAGAACAGCAATAAGGTATCAGTTGAAGTGTTTGTAGGTGAGATTGGGCCTTTTTTGTGGACAACATACAAAACAAATCCCACCACTTTGTGTGGCAAGTATGGCTCACATCATGCCCCTGAGTCCCAAGCATGTCAAAAACAGATCCCCAAATGATGTCGCAATTGCAATTGCAGTCCAAGTTTCCAAAAAAAGCTCAATAAATTTCAGCAAAGCTTCTTTGAAGCTCCGGTCAGCTGTGTGGCGTACTCACACCAACAAAGTCCTGGCCCCTGAGCAGATTGGACTTTCAGAGTTACTTGCATGATACCTTGTAGCAGACGTCTCCGCCTATTCATGTATATGCCGCAGCCGCACTGCAACTAGAGATGCCATGCTCCAAGCGTTTAGCTGGGCATGCCATGCGCGGTAGCTGAACTACCGTAGGACGCCTGGCAGGGGAGTCTGAAATGTCTGATCAGCTGAGCATTGGTCAGCGCAAGGTCTGCGATGTCTGCTGCATCATGGTTGGCGGTGGGGTTTCTCGTGCTGCAACCTGGCAATTGCGTGGACCGCGCACAGGCTACAATATAGCCACAGTAGCCTTCCACTAATCTCCCAACTTACGTCTCTTCAACATCGTTACGTACTATGATCAGCTTCCCTGCCTGCACGGCCTCCCAGATCATGGAAGGTGACAGTGCCAACCTGAAAGCCATCATGATCTAACTTTGATTTTGACGGTTTGTGGGGTTGGGCCACGCTGCCATGCAGACTTGGGGTGTCTTGCAAGCTGGGGCCTGCAGCGTGTGCATGGTTGAACTTGGGAGTTCTTCAAAAACTCCTGATTACATTGAGGACCCATAAAATGCTCCACAAGATTCCCTGCATGTCTATGGGGTCCACTTTTTGACAAAGGTTGTCGACACACCAGCAACAAAAGCTCACGCATGAGAGGTTGAGGAATATGTACACCCCAAGAACTGGTTGTGAACAGGCTTTGTCGCAGCACACCGCGGAACCTGGCTTAGCAAGTACAGGTTTGGACTCGGAAGCTCCCGAAAACGTTTCAGCTCTTAACTGGTGCCATGCAGTCAAAACATCTCATACCTGATTGCTACCCCAACTTAGGTTGAAGATCTCATGCCTGGCCCATCCACCTTTTGCACGCTGGCCAGTTCACATCTTGCAACAAAACAATTCTTATGTCGCAGCGGCTGAGAAGACCAATGCACGGCTCCTGATTGTCAGGAAGCCGCAGGCTGCTGTCAGGAGTTCTCTTTCATGGCTGGCCTCCTGCTATCGAAGGCTCTTTAATAAAGAAGGCGTATAGCATGCTAATCTTCAAAGTTGAAAAATGGAGTGCAGTGTATTTTCAGTATGCACAGCTGTGAATGGGATGTGGAGTCGAGCAGACTGACCTGCGTTTGGAGGATATACAACGCCTTCTCACCTGAACACCAGCCTCTTTGACAGGCAATGCTTTGACCAGCCAAGCGTGGCTGAAGTTCTTGTCCCTCGCCCGGACATGTTCTCCAGGCGAGATTGCATTCCCAGTGCCTCGTATTACCGAATCCAATGAACAAACAAAACGGCCACAATCTTCACAATCCCGAGTAATGCTTGCTGGACTTGAATTCCGGTTGCAGTCGCCCAGTAACTTTGTGACCACCCACCTGGTGATTTTCTCCAGGGGGCTTGTCAGGAAGGTTGCACCATCTAAACTCAGTTCTGCAAGCAGAATGACCTGCAAAGCGTCTACTTGCCTCACCTACCATCGTGCCAGGGTGCGGCCACCTACCCAAAAATGGTGCTGCAAGCATCCTAGCAGCTGCCTAAGTAAGATGGCCTAGGGAGCCTAAGGGCAGCTGCACAACAGGGCATGCAACTCCGGCAGTCAGCGTATTCAGTTGCCGGTTGCATACCTCACTCCAAAAGATTCGAATCAAGCCGCATGCTGTCTCGGATGCACATGCAACATATGCCGTGGCCACGGCGTGTTCATCTTGCCGCGGGCTCGAGGCCTGCCATGTACTAATCCGGCAAAGCAGTCAGGACATGATGCATTTCCAAGATTTTCAAGGCCTGCGGCTGGTCACTGGCTGCTCATCTGCAGCTGCTGGCTCAGTTGCAGCTTGCTTGACTGCCCAGACCTCGCAGAATTGGCAAACACCCGGTCGAAGGTTCCAAAAAGCCGGTTTGCTGCAGGGCCTTGCCGTCAGTGCGGGTGTACATCGCCTGGGCTCACGTCTTGGCTTCAAAGCCGCAAGCCGACTCTCCGCCCTCGCTGAGCCCGTGGCGGGGCCCTTTCCCTTGCCATTGCCTTTTCCTTTGCCCGCGGCCTTGCCGCCTTTGCTCCCCTTGCCATCCTTGCCAGCCCCGCCTTTTCCACCTTTGGATCCCTTCGAGACGACTCCTGGCAGCCGCTTCCAGGAAAGAGCAAACGCCGATGAACCGAAGGACAACGCTGCACAGGATGCCCACGTAATCATGATGATCATGTGTCATGACAAGATTGTACCCAAATGCCATGATGCATGCAAAGACTCAAGACTCTTCAAAGGCTTTGCTGTCCTGGCGAGTATGGCCAAGGGCGAGAGGCGGCGTGGAGGTGTGGGGCCCACTCCTGGGAGGCCTCAGCAGCCGAACCGGAGCATTCTTTGGAGGCTGCTACTCTCCTCAGTACAGGGGCCCCAGGGAAGGCCTACCAGGCCCCAAGTCAAACTTTGAAAGAGAATGTCTTCACCGCGTACTCGATTTTGAACAACCCAGAAGAAAGAGAGCACATTCAAAAGGATTGAGGATCAACCAGGAGCCAGCGCTTCAAAGAACAGGCACAACTTCCTGGGACATCGCCAACACCATCTATGCAAGACTCCTGCCTTGGAAGCAGCTAAATTGAACGAGCCAAGGAACAGCTGGCTTGGCCTGGGCCCAGAGCCCAAGGGAAGTTTGGTGTGTGTTGCAAGCTGTTGCAGAGGTTCAGGCTCATGCGGGGCTTTTTGAAAGGGTTTCGAGGTTTCGAGGCAAAAGGGTGCCCGAGAACATCTCCATATCACATGTCGGCCATCCAGCATCAAGGATAACCCTGGATCAGTCATACTTGAAGAGGAAGCTTCAGAATTTCAGCTGTCCAACACAGCTGTGATGGGCCTTTGTGTAAGGAGGCCTGACACACACCTCAACACATCATCCATTACAAGTCCGCCCAGAAGGATTTTGGGCAGAACTTTGAGCTCTTGAACTTGGTATTCAATTCACTCCACAGAACGCACACACGGTCTGCGCAGAAAGACTCTCCACCGTGAGCTACTTCTAAAATCCATGTTCAGTACTGTCCGCCGTCCAATCCAGAAAATCTGCAAGCCACCGGACAGGAAGGTAGAAATACAGTGGCAGCGTCAAAGATTGTCGTGGCTTCTCAGGGCTTCTTGAGCGCGAATTCGGATGAGTTCTTTTTCGTGGCCCTACTTTAGCGAGAAGAAGCACTTCACAGCCCCCTTACTTAAGCCTTACTTGCTTGCCGGACCCTTTCAATCTGAAGCTGGAACACGAATCAAGATCCGACCCACTTTCTGTGAACCTGAAGCGAACCTGCAGACCCAGATTTACACAACAGCCTTGCAACCCTTCTCATACCCATGCATCTGCAAAATCCTTGCATCATCTTGCACCTAAGCCAAAGCCTTATGTCAATTTGACAATGTTCCCCAAGTAACAAACTGCTGTGCACAGCTCTCCCCAGCTTTCAGCGACAGGGGGCTTTTGTCGGGCCGCGCTTTTGCCCTGGCGAAACTGGGTCCTCAGGACACTTCCACCCCGCGGCGATCGCAAGGCTTAAGCTTATAACTAAGAGCGCGATTTTGCAAAGGCCTTGTACGGATTCCAGGGGTTCAAATGCTCCTGCGAGACCTAGGCCCAGAATACCTTCGCATAGCCATGTGTTCAAACGAACCTGGAAAGTAGCTACGCTTTGCTGGCCTCCAGCTTTCTGGTTACAAATCCTGAATTCTTGCTTCCATGCCACTCGAATCTAAACGCTCGCGGTGGAAAAGGCTCCGCGCCAACAACGTCAATCAACATAATCAGCTTTAGGCCATAGATGTTCCTGACATCTTGAGACATTAGCGCTTCCATGCCCCCATACTTGCGTCTGCCTGTCATTCGATCCAATGAGCTTGAGGCTGTATATGCTTGGAACGTGAACCCAAAAAGCTACAATCAAGCACAACGCCAGTGACACCAACATTCAAGCAACAAAGTGCTCCACGTAGCTCTCGCAAGCTTTTAGCGACAAGGGGCTTTCGTCGGGCCGGCCTTCTGCCCCGGCGATGCTGGGGCCTCAGCCCACTGTTATATGTGACGCTTCGTTGGCACAGGATCTCAGGCCTGTGCCAAGTCTCCGTTTGTTCTTGGGATTTGCTATGCCACTTTCGCTCACAATGTGCTGCAATCGCAGTGTTCCCACGAGTACGAGAGTTGCGCCGCAAAGTAAAGCCGTGATCTGCGCATTCACATCTTGGGTATACTGGGACAAGCTACTGTATTACACCAGATCACCTCCCAGAAGTCAGTTCTATGCCGTGAATCTGTGCACTTCGCAACAGGCGCACCAGCAACAAGCCCCCAGCGCTTGGAGATTTCTTGCCCTCTGCGCCCTTGGCCTGACAGGCCAAGCAGGAGTGGTCTCAAGGGCACCGCGACGCACCGCAGCTTCTGCATCTTGACTATCCCTTGCAGACAAACACAGACTTTAATTAGCTAGAATCTAGAGATTTGCTATGTCCATTTTAAATAGTCACTGGGGCTGGTCTTTGAGCCAAAGCCCTGCAAGATCTGCAAAGCTATCAACATGGCGGCCTTCTCAGCGGGTGTTTCCTCCATCTTCGGGCTCGCTTCCACGAGAGCGCCCTGCGACAGCAATTGTTCAGTGAGGGCAAGCCCTCAAACACAGACCCATCGCGATTGAGTGGGCTCTGCTAATGCACAATCACATCCAGTACCCCCGGACCCATGCAGCTGATGCCTCGTCGGCGAGCTGTGGGAGTGCCGCGGGGGTCGGCGTCGGAAGGCCGACCTGGGGCAGTCGGAGGATGTCGGAGGGAGGCTGCATGCAACCCATGTAGAGCTACGTGGGGCCTAACGGGGGCTGAGACGTAAGCGGGTCCCTCGTCAATACGCTCCTCTGCGCGTTCTGGAAGGTCGTCGGGCGATGGGACCATGACACGCAAGTCTTCCAGCCTCAAGCTACCGTCCAGAAGGTACCGAGGGGTCTGAAACCCACGCATCAAAAGCGATCCATTTGTAGGACTGCTGCCCGGGTCCAGTTGGGCCAGGACCCTTGAAGACGTTGCTCATAGCATGAAACCAGGCACGTCGGGCTTCCTGGTACGTCAAACATTGGCAAATTTGTTGAACTCGATCCCGGCCAAAGCTATACTACTCAGAAGAAGCACCAGCATGCCTCCTAAGGTCCCAGTCCGCAACTGCATCCTGACCCCCCCTAGGTCCCTAGGTGTAGAGTATTGTAGAGTTCACTGCTCTTGCTCTGACTGGAGGATGCTCACCGAATCACCCAGACCGCTTTACGCCAAGGTGGACATTGCAAGGGCAAGTGTGCGCGCCTCCAGCGGCATGATGCCGAGTTGGCCTAGGAAGCTTCTTTGCTCTTCCAGGACCTGGCCACACGGGAATGGTCTTCGCTGCGCAACCTCCTGAAAGCTGCTGGCCTCCTCAGCATGCTTGATACACTCCTGCGGGATACTCGCACCAGATTTCCAGAAAGAGATGCGCCAAGGAGCTGACCCAGCCTCTCTGGTGGGCGGCGGCGGTGTTGTCTCCTCCGGCTGCAGGGCGGGCCTCACAAACTTGAATGCCCCCATCGAGAGCCCAGTGTCTGCCAGGACTGCATTCGTCAGCAGCGAGGCCGGCGCAGGTTCTGGGGCTGATGAGTCGGTGGAGCTGGCGGCTTTGGAGGCGCAGGCAGGAACTTCTGCATCTCCATGTTCCTCGGTTGACGATGCAAAAGTCCACCCCTGCAGCCCCATGAAGAGATGCAGGACAATCACAAAACATCATGTGGATCTTGGCTGAGACAGCAGCTGGCGCATCTGCGGCTGTGTCCGAAGCAAAGTTGGCAATCCGAACTGGGCCGTCAGGGGGGCAGCATGCCTGGTGATGTGCGGAGAGATGCTGAGATGAGTATAGGGAAGCGGCATTCTCTGGGGATCGTTTTGCGAATGTGTGTGAATAAGCCGTTTTTTTGCATGAGCAAGCCCACCAAGACTAACCGAATACAGGAGACAAAGTGAAGATGAAGCGAAGACTTGACTGAGACCCTGTCTTGCTGAGGTTGCCCTTCATTTGGGGCGCAAGCCCTTGGGGCTGGTCGTTCTAATGCCAAGCTGCTGAGGGGGAGGTGGCACTGGCAAATTGTTGGGTGCCAGTGGGATGCAGTTCGCCTTAGCCAGGCATCCGTTCTACCTCTGATGTTGTGGATAGACAGCTTCAGCTACTGTAGCGCCACTGGGTCTCGGACCACGTGTTGAAAGTGAGCCTGCGGCATGTTCATGGGCATCACCGGGTGCACAGCCATGTTCAGGCGGCCTGATGCCAGTCTCATCTTAGCAGCAATCGTGCTCTCTGACTTCTGCCCAACCAGCTCACATTGACCAAAGGCGCGCACCATCGCACATGTGCTGCACTTGCGGTGGGGGGAGTTGACCAGGCAGCCAATGCCCCTGAGCGCGCTCTAGCATCACAACCAAAGTGGGAATCCACATGCAGCCGCAACACGGAGCCGCGCTGGCCTGTGGGATGAACACGTCGGCGTTGGGATTCATGGTGCGGACAGGCTCGGCTGGCCCTGCGTCAAGTTTCAAGA